CACACACCACAAGTCTACGAGGGTTCAGTGTGACCTGTTCAAAAGCTGTGTTTACAGCAAAGGTGATGACTTCCTGTTGAGCAGGAAAGGTATACTCAGGACTGCAATACCTACAGAGGAGAAAAGTTTTTTTTTGTTTTTAATCTCAACCCTATCTCAGTTAATGTGATCAAAATGATCAGCAGAGAAATAAGAGACACAACGAAGCACCAAAAAGTAGCTTTGTTAGTAGGGAACTCACGTTGTGTCCAGATAAAGGGTCTGTATCCTGAGACCCTGCAGCTCTGGGTAGCGCTCCATGGACGGATCAGCCCGGAAGTCACCTGTGTGGAGCACCGTCTGGCCATCTGGCAGAACAAATAGCAACATGGCTGCCCCAGGACAGCTGGGGGGGAAACAGTCATTGTTATTAAGGTCTTGTCATTCTGTATAAACACAGGGACCTGTAATAAATAAATAAATTGGGCTTCAAATATTCATTAGTTACTTGGAGGATATACTTACTGATTAGCATCCAGGAGAATGACCTTCACTCCTTGCACCATACGCTCGGTGTTCATTGGGAGAACATGAACATACTGCTCATACACCTTCAGCTTGCTCTTCACCAGGTTACTAGTTATCTACAATGATTAACACCAGTTAGTAATGAAAACCAAGATTCAGTCAAGAAAAAAATCCTCCCTGACACCATCATTGAGAAAAAATAAAACATTTTCTTTTCTTCACTGGCATTTTTACATTTTCCACCTTCGTCCTGACCCTTAGATTTAACTGACGTAAATTTGTGATATTTTGTCAATGTGCTGATAATTCATTATTCTGATTTCATAACCATGACACATTTCTGAAGTTGAAAAGGATAGTTGAACCAAAAATTAATTATTTCATGATTTACTCACTCCATTCACTCACTTTATGTTGTTGCAAAACGGTATGACTTTCTAGCTTGCGTGGAACATAAAAGAAGATACTTTGAGAAATGTGTTTTTGTGTGTGTGTAATATATATATATATATATATGTATATATATATATATACTGTATATACACAATAGAAGTCAATGGTCTGTGTTGCTCCTGTGCTGTTGCCAATGCTCTTTTGTGTTTCAAAGAAGAAAAAAATTAATAAAGGTTTGGAAGAACATGAGGGTGAGTAAATAAATGACTTTTTATTTTGGGGTGAACTATCCCATTAGTTTCTTGGGAGGGAACTTTTTGTTGTGAATGTTGGAGGATTTCTACATAGTAAACTGAACTCTTCAGTTTCCTGAAGAGCAAGAAAAACCCTGCTTTCATTATTTTTAAAGTGCAATGAGGTTGGGATACGTACTTTGTTACAGTAGATGGGTAAAACAGAGTCTTTTTTTCAAGCCACCATAGTGGTCCGAGTGGAAGTGAGTGAGAAAGTAGGCTGTGACACCTTCAACAACCCCATACTGAAAAGCATCCACAACAAAACCAGTTCCTGAATAGAGAAAAAGCATATTATATTCTCCAAAGTACATTAGACCAAAACACTATCCCTCAAGCTAAAAAATAATAGAGTTATTATGAGAGTAAAAGAATAAATGCACACAATCTAGTACATAAAAAGTTCTGGCACAGCTATTAAGATCTGAAGTATTAAAGTGCTAATGCAATCTTAACAATTGGTATCAAGTAGGTCAAAACAAAAGCATTAAAGCGGTTCACAAACCAGGAATTTTCTTGTAGAATGGACAGCGCTTGGGCTCCTTGGGATCTCCATCTGTCACTCTTCCTCTGTTCCATCTTTTCTGCCTCTCTGCCCTCCCTCCTTGCTTTCCTTCTGTTTGCGTGGGCCGAGTCGTACCATCTTCTGCAGCAGGCGAGACACTGGACACTTCAGATGGTGCTTTGCTCTTTTTACGCCGTCTACCCTGGAGCTTAGCGTCTTCCCCCTGAGTTTCTGAAATCCTCGCTCTCCTAGACCCTTGGTGATCGGCCTCTCTGACCGTTGCCTTCACTTCCTCCTCAGCCTTTTTTTCATTCAATGACTTCAAGCCAAAAAACACCCCAATGTCTGTTTGCTTCAATCCAGAGGGACCTGCCTTAGTCTGAGTTCTCCTAGGAGCCATAGACAGCATTTTCTGAGTTATAGATAGGGCTGTTTGGGTGAAAGTCAACTCTTGGCTTATGTAACTGTTGACACATACAGGATTAGATATGCGGTCCCGAAGACGCTCTAATACCAAACTTTGAGGTGATTGTAGCTGGGAGTTTGGATCGTCAGGATTTGTTGTGGAGTGTTTTCCCATTGACTGAGGTCCAAGCTGAAATGTTCTATCAGAAACACCTGTAGAAGAAGTAGTCAGGTGATCATTGGGTGCTAATGATGTCTAGCAGTTTCTCACAGGTGTCTAATGAGTGTTTCATGTTCCCTGTCTCATATTGGTCCAGCATATCATAGAACAGATCATCATCTTCATCACTGAACAGTTTAAGAGAATCATCATCAACCTCATTTTCACCTTCCTGCAAAGCAGTACTATGAAAATCTATATTAGGTTTTTGAGTTCTGTGCTCCCTATCCAAGTCTGGAAGTTCAGAGAGTGGGGAGTAGGAGATGTAATCATCATCATTACATTCAAAGAGCTCGGCTTTAACTTCATTAATCTGTGTCTGAACAGCATTGCCAACACAATGTGCTTTAACCGGAGTTGAAATCTTCATTCTCGCCTCCTGAGAAAAATTCTGGGATTGAGATCTTTTGATGGAAGGAGACCAACCTTTCTTTTTCTTGATATCCTCAGTCTTAGGAGAGCGCAAAAGCAGCAGAGCGTTACTCTGGGTGGGAGTTCCCTTTGGTCCATCACAAGGAGATGAACTTTGGCTGGATGAAGCAGATACATTCACAGCGCTGTCCACGTAGCTCTCTGTACCAGATGAAGGTGCAACATTATTAACTGACTTCAAGTTGAAGTCTGAGATGGCTTGGGTCGTGCAGTCATTCAGCACGCGACTATGAGCAAGCAGAGAGTGGCTATACCTCTTGTAGTGATTGGGAATGGAGGACGTACAATGAAGACCATCTGGACATTCTGTAACATTAGAGGGATGTTAATGTTCTTAAATATTATACAATAATATTCTTGGAAATATTCCACATTAAAGTGTCAAGAGCATGTTACTAATGATGGGTGCCTCAAACCTTATAATGAATGAATTTTCATGACTTTTCTAGTTGTTCATATAGTAAGTATTTTTAAGTAAAAAGACATCAGTCATAAAAAAAATCAGTTAACCACTATTAATAATTTTTTTTCAATGTATTTATTTATTTTAATCCTTTCATAACAGATTGTGTTCAAGAAAAGCATTATCTAGCTGACTATATTTAGGATGGAGTATAACTTTAAAAAATGCAGATGTGAATTAAATCTATAGTTAATGTACATGATTTTCCAGCTATGAAAATAACAATTAAAAAATCCCAGATATTTCCATGTGGAACCCTGCAATAAGCTGATGAGTAAGACAATAGAATAATAACTGTTGATTTTACATATGCATTTATGAAAAACATTACCTTTACAGCTGTCACCAGGGTCATCTAAGCATTCTGCAACATGCCATTGTTGAGACTGAACCACCAAGAGGGAAAATGGCATTTGACAGACAGGACAGAATCCTGACTGAGGGTCTTTATCCTGGACATTCCGAGAAAGTGTCCCATGATTCACGTCCAGGGATCCTGAGTTCAAAGTGTTAATGGGAGCGTTATTGCCATTCTGGTCTAAACCAGTGTGCGTCTCAACACTGTTAACACTTGTTTTTTTTTTGCACTGATGTCCCCGGTTTGCTATCCTTTCTCCTCTTTGTCTCATGTTCCCTTGATATTTGTGATTTGCAGCTTCGTTTTTTGGTCTTCTTAAGAGCTTTATAATCCCAGATTTCAGTCTCAGAGCTGCTCTGTGACATTTGTAAACATTAACAGATTCTACTGGTTTGTTTTTAACGAAGTTGTTTTGTAACATCACATTCATGATCTCTTAAAGGGGTCATATGATGCGATTTCAATTTTTCCTTTCTCTTTGGAGTGTTACAAGCTCTTGGTGCATAAAGAAGATCTGTAAAGTTGCAAAGACTACATTCTCAAATCCAAAGAGATATTCTTTATAAAAGTTAAGAGTCAACCACGCCTACCTAATACAGCTCGTTCGGCTGTAGTATTGTTGCCGCCACAATATCCTGAAGACGCTGTGTGCTTCGTTATGAAAGCGAAACTACTTTGTTTGGTCTTCCAAAAGAGGACGATGTCATGCCTGGAGCTGATCCGTGCTGGTCGCTGAGGAAATACAACAGTATGGTGAGGGGCGTAACATTTCCGTCTCACGCTTGAGGTATTCGGCCAATCACAACGCTCTGGATAGCTGGCCAATCAGAGCACACCTCGCTTTTCAGACCGATGAGCTTTGTAAAAATCGACGCGTTTCAGAAAGGCGGGACATAGAGGAGAAACACTAATGTACAGTATGTGGAAAATAATGTGTTTTTTTTACTTTAAACCGCATAAACACATTTCATTACACCAAATACACAAAATAATGTTCTTTTTAGCAGCATTTAAGGCAAAAAAAAAAAAACCGCAACCAGAGCGCAAAGAAGTCCGTATCATTCAGAAAAAAATCATCCTGAAAGCAAAAAGCCTTAAGAAAGGCTGTAAAAGAATTTAAAAATAAATAAATAACCGTTCATATTACATAAATCCGACGACTATCTTTCGTCATTACACTTACCGCCAATGTTTAAAGCGCATTTATTTTCACATTTATGTTCGCATTTTCCATAATGCAAATAGTATCGAGTCATTTCATATTAGACACAGGACGTTTATTTATAGATTTAATACAAATAACATTTTTTTAATAATATGACAAATATGTTAACTACTCGCAAAACGAGTTTATTTTGTCTTGGATGCGGTTGCAATTTGTCTGTCGAAAGTGCCGAGCGTAAATGTTAACTTCTTATTCTGTTGTTGTGGGAGTCATGGCGTCTTACTGTAAGCTGTCAGATCTTTTCCCCATTCAGAGCCAGTTAGACTATGCTTTAGAGGACGCGACGACTCAAGAAGAAAAAGAAAATCTTGTACATCAGTATTTGCACAAAATAGACGAAAATGACGATTTAATTATACCGGATTTTGAAGAAGGTAAGAGTGTAAATGAACTCGGTGGGTGTGAGAATGTGTACAGTATTTGGATCTCATGGGAGTGGCTTTGAAACTTAAGATCAATCATAGATTGATTCGTGGTTTTAGATAAACGAATAACATTATGGAACATGACAAGCCAATTACAAATTGCTTCTGTGATTTGTACTGCTCTATAAATGTTGTATTGAATTAACAGTGAGTGTTTCACACTGTAGTTTTGGTTCTGGGAGGCTATCATGGGGGGGGGCATTCTGTTCAGATTTGCATCTGCCTTGCCAATCTTTTAAAGGCACCACCACAACAAATGCTGAATAATTTATAGCAACACATTTTTATATGCCTCAAGAGAATGTATTTTTCATTCAATGTAAATTTTCATAATATATGTCATAGTTAAACTCTAACCATTCCATTGTTGTTTTGTAGGACTGGAATGGTTGAACACAGACGGCCCATTGTCACTCAGGAAGGAACTGTCAGGCAAAGTGGTGGTGCTTGACTTCTTCACCTACTGCTGCATAAACTGCATGCACCTACTTCCTGATCTACACCAGTTGGAGCAAAGTTACACCATAGAAGGTGTGTCTGATAGATGTTTCGTTAGAGACTGTTAGTGGACCAGTGAAAGACAAGGAGAGTGTAAAATTATACCATATGATAAACATGGCATCTACCCTGATTTAAAGTATGTTTATAGTGATTACATTAGATATTTACATCATTAGGTAAACAAAAAGCATCTTACAATATGTAGCTGTACTCAATAGGCAATCCAGATAAATGTTTCTTGACTGTGTTGATGAGAACTTTACAAATATCCCATAGTAAATCATTCCCAGGGTTCACTGGGGCAGAAGAGAGAGCCTTTTGAGCTTGATAACTTCTTCTGGTGCAGCAACACATTCCCATTATCTCTCAACTGTATCGGATAGGAGACTTTAAATATCCACAGAGACCAGATCGAGGGCAGAGAGTTAAACATAGATACACTATTATAAGGGTCTGTGGCTTATTATAGCAGCTCTGCATTCAGTGCTATCAGCTCCAGCTTTCAGTAGCCCATCGGTGGCCACTTCTGTGGGATCATCCGGGGCAACTGGCCAGGCAGGCGTCATCCCACTCTCTAGCATACCTCACACATAACTCATCTCTGGCACGTCTTTTGGTAAATTCTGTTACCGCAGTTCAGAACATGCCTACCCAATCCCCACCACTCTTCCAAACGTCTCATTAATTATTAGGGTTTATTGTTGATTATATTGCAGAACAGTGACCTTTTATTATTAAACAGAGATGCTTTTACTCACATCCTCTAATGTTGGCTGGCTCTGGGTTGGTTCTTTCCAATTTCTATTAAACTTCTACTAAAAAAAAAAAAAATGTTCTTGCCCTGCCACTATTTTCAGTGGCACTACCATAGAAATACAGATTTATTTTCAGCAACATATTTTATGTGTCAGGAGAATATATTTATATTTTTCATTGAATTTAAAGTTTCATTTACAGAAAATAAATATTTATTAGTTTTATTTGTTGGAATTTTTACAGTAAGCATAGAGTTTTTATATAATAAAAACATGACTGACTTGTTTGATGTTTCCAGTAATAAAATCTTAAAATATTAATAATAATAGTATTATATTAACTTATTTATTGTTATTAATTTATTTATTATTCTTAAACAAATTTATATATATTGAATAAATAATCAGCTTCATGTATTATTATTAATATTTATTTATAAATTTTCCTAAAAACACATGTACATAATCAACAAAAATCGTAGTGACGACACAGCTCTAGTTTGATGGAGCAGGCAACAGCTTAAACTCATGCGTATCGAAACCAAGCAATCCTTGTTGTTAAAACCTGCATATATTCCATAGGTTACACTTATACTTCACTCTCATACTCCTCATCATAAGCAGAAGTGCTGGTTCTAGCATGCGTTTACTTCCCTGAGGGGAAATCAGCTGGAGAGACATGAGAAAGAATACAGAAAAACATTGAGCACATTTTGACTACGCCAGGTGTATTTCAAATGCATTTATAGGCAGAGGGGAAGCAGGCTAAAAGCATACTGAAATGGGACACTGGTCCCCCGTGCGTGTGCTTCCCGCCTCCGCTGCTGAGCCTATGAATTTTAATCTTCTGATGGATGGCTGAAACAGGAATTTAAAAACCATTGTCCGTCTGCTTCTATCATCAGTGGCTGTGTCGCTTACCCCAGGGACACAGAATGGAGAAATGTCACTTCCAGTGACAAGGCGGAGAAGTTCCGCTGACATTTTTGTTAAATTAGACAAAGTCAAGCGGAGTGAGCACAGACTATAGCGTAGTGCAGGAAACTGGAACAAACCGAGCGCATTGGTTATAATGGGATGCCTGGGGGCTGCATGAGCTCTCAATCAAGACTCCTGTCTTTTCCTTGATTGGTTTTGACATTCTGCATGCAGTAGCCTTTGTTAGGATATGTACCTCTGGGATTCTTATACTCTCATTTCTTGAAAGGGGCCTACATTTTCTATACTTGTTTTGTAGCATTTAGTTTTTTTGTGTGTGTGTATATTTATAATCCTAGTTAAAGATTCTTGCATTAAAAAACAGCCGATTAACTTGTTAACTTGACCAGTTTTCACACCCTCTCTGGCCCTTAAGGCCCATTTACAAGAAAAATAACTGTAACTATTTGTGTCCGCACAAATGCAAGATAATGTTCTGTTTATTATAAGTGTGCATTGTATGTCATCTGTTGATTTTTAAATGCTGGAGAACTTAAATGTCGGGTGGATTCTCTTTGGCTGTCAAATGTTTTTATCGTTCATCAGCTGGAAAAAATTATGGATGTGAATCCAACCATATTGTTCATCTTCATTGTGGACTACTCTATTCTTATAGAATTAAAATTAATTCTGGTGAGAGCAGCCTTTACACTTTGTCCTAAGCAGATGATACATAAAGTGTCAAGCAATCAAATCTATTCCATTTTTTGTGACATGACGTTGTCAGTCCCTTAGTTTTCCTTTTTGTAGGTTTGTGTTTCCCTGCCTACTTTGAATCCCATTGGTCTAAACACACACTCCACATAACTGTATATTAAACATGTCTTAATTGGGTATTTTTATGCTATGTCGTTCAGCAATACATCTTTCATTGTGGACAGTAAGGCAGAGGCTTCTATGTAAATGAACTGTGTTATGACTGGCTAACCTCGTTGCATATCTAATCAGTAACAAGGCTCCTCCTAAATGTTTTTTTCAATGTCAATATGATGATTTCTGCTTAGTTTCCGTTGGATGAGTGGATAGAAGTTTTACAATGTGATTATTACAGTATGTCTAGTACATTGAGGACTTTTATAGCAAGTAAAATGCTGATTTTCATGTCCTCTTTACAGACATTTTTGTTCCAGATAGACTTTGTTGTTCTTTTATTGAATGTTTTTAAAAAGAAAGGAACTGTGACTCATGAAGAGTGAGGTTTAGTACTGTTGAAAACATTCAAGGCGCTGACACACGGACAAAAGATGATTCTTTGAGATTTTCAGTGTTCAAGGACTCGGATAAAACATGTCAGAAGCATACACCAACGCAACATGCTTCCACACATTGTTGAGGAGATAAGAATGAACAGCTTTGTGTAACCTGAATAGATTTTCTTTGAACAAACAAAAAAAGCATTCACAAAAAACGTAATTAGGCAATAAATAAATGTAAATAATTAAATTAAAGCCACTTTCCTATCGTTCCCTTTTGATTTAGGTTCAGATAGATTAAAAATTATTTCATAAACGTTCTTTATAAAGGACCTTTTAGAATAACTTTGAAACCTAAATGTACCTCAGGGCATTTTAATAAAAGTTCTACTAAGGCCAGTAGGTTTTGGTAGGTAAAAACTTATTTCTTTTTCATCTCCATTACAGATGGTCTTCAAAGAGAGTATTAAGTGCTAGATGATAAAGTATTCTTTTTATTTGTTTTTATTTTAATTTCATCATTTGAGCTGTTAGTGGCCCTTCTGGTAATCTTAGAAGCCTAAAACAGGATAAGATTATCATACCTCCTCTTCAGTGTCAAACCCTCTATATATCTTGCATTTCTCTTCTTTTCCATCTCTGCAGACGGTCTGGTTGTTGTAGGTGTGCACTCGGCTAAATTCCCCAATGAGAAGGTCCTACAGAACGTACGCAGTGCGGTGTTGAGATATGACATCACCCATCCTGTAGTGAACGACAGCGATGCCTGTCTGTGGCAGGAGCTGGAGGTGTCCTGCTGGCCCACGCTGGTACTGCTGGGACCCAGAGGGAACCTTCTTTTCTCCCTGGTGGGTGAAGGCCATCGAGAAAAGCTCTTCCTTTTCACTGCTGCTGCCCTCAAGCACTACAGAGAACAAGGGCTGCTCAAGCACCATGATGTGGGAATTAAACTGTATAGAGACTCCCTGCCTCCCTCCATCCTCTCTTTCCCTGGGAAAATAGCCATGGACCCCAGTAGCAAGCGGTTGGCTATTGCCGACACAGGACACCACAGGGTACTGGTGGTCTCCAATACTGGGCAGGTGCTGCACTCTATAGGGGGTAAGACCTGTTAATACACGCTTTTTAAGTTAAGTTATTCAGGGGACACTGCTTTTGTTCTGTTTTTTAAAGAAAACAGGGAAACTCTCAATTTCTTTATGGTGCATAATTACATTAGAAAATTTGCATTTTAGTTTCAGAATTTTTTGTACTTTGTTTAATTTTTTCTTAAAATAATTTGACATGCGTTCAGATCAGATCACATACTACCGTTCCATTATTATTAATATTATTATTATTATTATTAGACAAAGATGCATTAAATTGATCGAAAGTGACAGTAAAATATATTTATATTGTTACAAAAATGTAAGAAGAAAAAAAAGTTCCGCTTTGCCATCCCAGGAATAAATTACATTTTAAAATATTTTAAAATAGCAAACAGTTATTTCAGATTGCAATAATATTTCATAATATTGCCACACTCGCCTTTGATTTTCACAAGTGTGTAAGGTGAGGGGTGCAAAAAGATCTTTGTTCTGCTAAAATGGCCTCTTGTTGTTTGGAAGCAGCCCTGGAGTAAATTGCAGGGTCGGTCAGTTGCTAACCAGAGACACAAAGCTGAATGTTGTGGTGAAAATAGCCATGGACCCCAGTAGCAAGCGGTTGGCTATTGCCGACACAGGACACCACAGGGTACTGGTGGTCTCCAATACTGGGCAGGTGCTGCACTCTATAGGGGGTAAGACCTGTTAATACACACTTTTTAAGTTAAGTTATTCAGGGGACACTGCTTTTGTTCTGTTTTTTAAAGAAAACAGGGAAACTCTCGATTTCTTTATGGTGCATAGTTACATTAGAAAATTTTAAGATTATCATACCTCCTCTTCAGTGTCAAACCCTCTATATATCTTGCATTTCTCTTCTTTTCCATCTCTGCAGACGGTCTGGTTGTTGTAGGTGTGCACTCGGCTAAATTCCCCAATGAGAAGGTCCTACAGAACGTACGCAGTGCGGTGTTGAGATATGACATCACCCATCCTGTAGTGAACGACAGCGATGCCTGTCTGTGGCAGGAGCTGGAGGTGTCCTGCTGGCCCACGCTGGTACTGCTGGGACCCAGAGGGAACCTGCTTTTCTCCCTGGTGGGTGAAGGCCATCGAGAAAAGCTCTTCCTTTTCACTGCTGCTGCCCTCAAGCACTACAGAGAACAAGGGCTGCTCAAGCACCATGATGTGGGAATTAAACTGTATAGAGACTCCCTGCCTCCCTCCATCCTCTCTTTCCCTGGGAAAATAGCCATGGACCCCAGTAGCAAGCGGTTGGCTATTGCCGACACAGGACACCACAGGGTACTGGTGGTCTCCAATACTGGGCAGGTGCTGCACTCTATAGGGGGTAAGACCTGTTAATACACGCTTTTTAAGTTAAGTTATTCAGGGGACACTGCTTTTGTTCTGTTTTTTAAAGAAAACAGGGAAACTCTCAATTTCTTTATGGTGCATAATTACATTAGAAAATTTGCATTTTAGTTTCAGAATTTTTTGTACTTTGTTTAATTTTTTCTTAAAATAATTTGACATGCGTTCAGATCAGATCTTCATTTAATTATTATTAAAATTCATGCACATACTACCGTTCCATTATTATTATTATTATTATTATTATTAGACTTATTATTATTATTATTATTATTATTATTATTATTATTATTATTATTATTATTATTATTATTATTATTATTATTATTATTAGACAAAGATGCATTAAATTGATCGAAAGTGACAGTAAAATATATTTATATTGTTACAAAAATGTAAGAAGAAAAAAAAGTTCCGCTTTGCCATCCCAGGAATAAATTACATTTTAAAATATTTTAAAATAGCAAACAGTTATTTCAGATTGCAATAATATTTCATAATATTGCTGTTTTTATGGTATTTTTCATCAAATAAATACAGTCATGGTGAGCATAAGAGACTTCTTTCAAATCATTAAAATTGTTATTTATATATTAATATTATTTCAATTAAAATGTATACATTTTATTTGTTTGCAATGTAGTAATGTGATAAATAGGGTTAGGGTTAAATGTGTGTAATTTTATTAATTATTGAACAAAATTGAATGAGTAACTAGAATTTTTTATTTTTATTTTTTTGCAAGAGGGAATGTCTTTGCTGGAATGAAGTATGTTATTTGTAGCTGTTTGGGTGTTACACCCTAAAATAAGGGGCAAATTGCATCCGTCCTTGAAATGCAGTTCTGTTCCCTTGCAGGATGGTTCCATAAAATTAGGGTTGCCAACTGCCCTATATATTAAGTATATAAAATCTGCAAATTTTCTTTTTGGTGAATGTTTTGAGGCTATTTTAGTCTACTTTTAGACTGGTTTATCTTTGCCTTTATAGGTCCCTCAAGTGGGAGACGAGATGGAAATTTTTTTGAGGCACAGTTCAGCTCCCCACAAGGGGTGTTCATAAAGGGAGACACGGTCTACGTGGCTGACACTGAGAACCACCTTGTTAGAAAGGTAAATCAGCAGAATCGGGTCAAGCTTGTTCTCCTGCTGGCAACTCTAACCCAAATTCACTCTGATTGGTGCTTGAAAAACCGCTTGTGTCTGTCCTCAATAGAATCAGACTTTTTTTTCCTTCTCTAGATCAACCTTTCAGAAGAAAAAGTCTCAACCTTAGCCGGCACTGGCGTTCAAGGTACAGATAAAGAAGGCGGTGCACTGGGACCACAACAGCCAATCAGCTCTCCCTGGGATGTTACCCTTGGCAACGCAGGTACTTTTACTATTCATCCTCTTCTAGTACACTCTGCTCCTTCCTTTAGAATTAGGATCACTCTGTTTTCTTTTTTTCTACCTTGCTCATAAAATTTAATATCTTGTGAATCTGCGTTTCATTATTCTGCTGCGAGCATTTTATGCATCCCTCTCACATCTTCCCTCTATCTGTCTTGTCCATCTTGGAATCTTTAATCAGGTTGTTCTCAGAAGTCTTCGCTTTGTAGATACCACACTCGCCTTTGATTTTCACAAGTGTGTAAGGTGAGGGGTGCAAAAAGATCTTTGTTCTGCTAAAATGGCCTCTTGTTGTTTGGAAGCAGCCCTGGAGTAAATTGCAGGGTCGGTCAGTTGCTAACCAGAGACACAAAGCTGAATGTTGTGGTGAAAATAGCCATGGACCCCAGTAGCAAGCGGTTGGCTATTGCCGACACAGGACACCACAGGGTACTGGTGGTCTCCAATACTGGGCAGGTGCTGCACTCTATAGGGGGTAAGACCTGTTAATACACGCTTTTTAAGTTAAGTTATTCAGGGGACACTGCTTTTGTTCTGTTTTTTAAAGAAAACAGGGAAACTCTCAATTTCTTTATGGTGCATAATTACATTAGAAAATTTGCATTTTAGTTTCAGAATTTTTTGTACTTTGTTTAATTTTTTCTTAAAATAATTTGACATGCGTTCAGATCAGATCACATACTACCGTTCCATTATTATTAATATTATTATTATTATTATTAGACAAAGATGCATTAAATTGATCGAAAGTGACAGTAAAATATATTTATATTGTTACAAAAATGTAAGTAAAAAAAGTTCCGCTTTGCCATCCCAGGAATAAATTACATTTTAAAATATTTTAAAATAGCAAACAGTTATTTCAGATTGCAATAATATTTCATAATATTGCTGTTTTTATGGTATTTTTCATCAAATAAATACAGTCATGGTGAGCATAAGAGACTTCTTTCAAATCATTAAAATTGTTATTTATATATTAATATTATTTCAATTAAAATGTATACATTTTATTTGTTTGCAATGTAGTAATGTGATAAATAGGGTTAGGGTTAAATGTGTGTAATTTTATTAATTATTGAACAAAATTGAATGAGTAACTAGAATTTTTTATTTTTATTTTTTTGCAAGAGGGAATGTCTTTGCTGGAATGAAGTATGTTATTTGTAGCTGTTTGGGTGTTACACCCTAAAATAAGGGGCAAATTGCATCCGTCCTTGAAATGCAGTTCTGTTCCCTTGCAGGATGGTTCCATAAAATTAGGGTTGCCAACTGCCCTATATATTAAGTATATAAAATCTGCAAATTTTCTTTTTGGTGAATGTTTTGAGGCTATTTTAGTCTACTTTTAGACTGGTTTATCTTTGCCTTTATAGGTCCCTCAAGTGGGAGACGAGATGGAAATTTTTTTGAGGCACAGTTCAGCTCCCCACAAGGGGTGTTCATAAAGGGAAACACGGTCTATGTGGCTGACACTGAGAACCACCTTGTTAGAAAGGTAAATCAGCAGAATCAGGTCAAGCTACTTCTCCTGCTGGCAACTCTAACCCAAATTCACTCTGATTGGTGCTTGAAAAACCGCTTGTGTCTGTCCTCAATAGAATCAGACTTTTTTTTCCTTCTCTAGATCAACCTTTCAGAAGAAAAAGTCTCAACCTTAGCCGGCACTGGCGTTCAAGGTACAGATAAAGAAGGCGGTGCACTGGGACCACAACAGCCAATCAGCTCTCCCTGGGATGTTACCCTTGGCAACGCAGGTACTTTTACTATTCATCCTCTTCTAGTACACTCTGCTCCTTCCTTTAGAATTAGGATCACTCTGTTTTCTTTTTTTCTACCTTGCTCATAAAATTTAATATCTTGTGAATCTGCGTTTCATTATTCTGCTGCGAGCATTTTATGCATCCCTCTCACATCTTCCCTCTATCTGTCTTGTCCATCTTGGAATCTTTAATCAGGTTGTTCTCAGAAGTCTTCGCTTTGTAGATACCACACTCGCCTTTGATTTTCACAAGTGTGTAAGGTGAGGGGTGCAAAAAGATCTTTGTTCTGCTAAAATGGCCTCTTGTTGTTTGGAAGCAGCCCTGGAGTAAATTGCAGGGTCGGTCAGTTGCTAACCAGAGACACAAAGCTGAATGTTGTGGTGTTGCCTGAGTTAAACCCACAACCCCAAAGAAATAGAAGGTGATATGATCAGAAAACACTCATGTGGCTGTGGTTTCTGATAAATGGTGCCCCTAACGAACTGTTTTCATCAAAGATTGCATCTTTTTGTTTCACAGTAATATCTTTATACAGACCGGCCCTGGACAAGATGTCCCACAGGTCTAGAAAATTAAATTTAACATGCTTCTAAAACATAATTAAAATTCCTTCTTTATATTTGAAGGCATTATTTAATCAGTACACATTATTCAGTCATATCGCTCCATTAAACAGCTAAAGAAATGGATGTGGCCAGCATTAGCTGAGAGAGAGAGAGATGTTTAAGGTGGTCTGTGCAGTGTGTGTTTGATATAGTCAGCGTGTGTTTGGAGCACATTCATTGATGGTCCCCGCTGTGCATTAGGTCTGTTCCCTGAACAGTCGGTTGCTTTCTTGCAGGTTCTCCTGCTAAGAAAATAAGATATTGCTGTATCCTGTTCCTTTATGCATCTGCTGTTGTCCCTGATGCCGTTTTACTTTTCTTATTCCATTTCTTTCTTTTTTCCATTTCTTTCCTTTCATTTGTCTTCCTTTCTTGTGTCATTTAATGCAACAGTCATTTTGAATGTTTGATTTAAAGTGGGCATAAAATCTGAATTTCTTCTTCTGAAATAAAATCTTCCTCCAGTTCAAAAGAGCATTTATTAACGAAGCCACAGATGCTGCTCTTTCCAGATCGTTTGATTTCTGAAGTCAGAAAGTTGAATACATTAACATTTACACATCAATAATGCCTATTCTATGTTCAGAAATGGTAAACCAGGTTAAAACATATGACGTTTTTCAGAAACACACCAGTAGATATTTATTATTATTTTTGCATGAATTGTTTCATACCATAGTGTTTACAGACAGGTAAAGAATCTTTCTATCTATATCTGTATAATGTGTGTCTGTGTGTGTGTGTGCGTTCGTGTAATTTTATGGCGTTATATAATTTTGTTTTAAAGAAAATTGGAGCTCAAGTAGGAGGAGATGCTAGAAACAACATGCTTCTTGAAATTCGTTTGTCCGATATCTACTGTAATATTTGCATTTTCCACTTCATCATTCATAATATTTCCTTAACCATCTGTCTGGTTTGTATTTGCCTTCTTTCACTCGTTTTCCACCTTTGAAGTTTAATTGGTATATGGAAATCCTGCAGGATGTCTTTGTCATTCATCACAAATTTCATCTATTTTGGCTCGTTTACCTTCCATCCATCTCAGATCCCTTTGAAAACCTGCGTGAGGAGAGTTCTGCTCCCTTCCTCTCCATCTCAATCTTTTCTCCCTCCCCTTCTCCCTCTGTTTTCCTTACTCTTCTTTCCCTCTGTCTCGCTCTTTCATGAATGCGAGTATTTAGGCTCCAGCCCAGCAAAGAAATTGTCTCTGATAAGCGCAGTACCATTAGAGGTCTATTGTTAGACACAAGTACAAAACACCTCATTTTTGATTCCTCAAAGAGAAATCGCAGCACAATGCTCTCAAGTATTAATGCCCCTCCACACGGTACTTAAACTGATTTGTAATGTAAATTCATAATTTCAGGTTACTCTGTGCTGGACACCACAGGATACTTTTATATTTCCAGTGCTCTAAAGCCTTTCAGTACTTTGTCTTTTGCCACATTCCACAAATGGAATACAACAACAGGGTCACTTTTGTATTGTTTTTTTTTCCATAAAGTGTCAGTGAAAGGAGGCAAATCTAAACCTTTAGAAAACATTATTTAATCAAACTAAATACATTTAGGAAAATAGATGAAAATGTATGTTTTTTTATTATTATTATTAATTTATATTTAATATTATTTGTTATTATATACTTATAAAATATTATAAACAATATACAAAACAAAATAATACATATATTACATAATATTCATATTAAAAATAAAAATATAGATATTTATTGTCCTGTAATCAACTTTAGGCTCCTTATTTCTAGGGTGAAATATTAAAGTAAATGCATTGAAGTATTTTATTTTATTTATTTATACTTCTCAACAGACCAATGGTTCTCTCTATAGTATAATATGGAATTTTTGCTATTATTGTTGTAATGGGACACATTTGTGGGACAGGTGGTCGAGTCCGACACCTACATCAGATACCATATGTTACTGGATATGAATATAAGCAATGTCTCATTTACATTGTGGAATTAGCTTGCATGCATGGATGAGATCTAATAAAGTGATCGCCATGCAGCCAAAAAGGATCAAATGTTATATGAAGGTTATGCGAGTTAGAAGTTGACAACTTGTTTACTCGTTTCATGCATGTTCAACTAAGAATTAGTTCTGTTATTTTTAGCAAGATAATCAACATCAATATGTTGTAAACATATAAGCTGTTTACTATTTGATAGCGTGTGTACATGTTTATGCAGGTGGTGATGTTTTGTGGATAGCCATGGCAGGAACGCATCAGATCTGGGCTCTCTTCCTGGAGGACGGGAAGCTTCCCAAAGGGAGGTGAGCTCTTCTCCCAGTGTTCTCCTCATGTCAGTTCTGTACAGACAAGGCAGGGTTCAAGTAAAGAGGCCACGGCACTGCCCAAGTGATGTCCTTTTCTTGGCAGCCACACAGTTGACTGTTGGCGGAAATCGTTCTGATCATCCTGATACAAAATTAACTTGGTGTGCTGTTCGCAAATGTAACATTTCTCTTGACGTTTTTAGAGCTGTAGCGAGCACTGATAACAGCTTTAATATCTCAGGAAATAATTAATAAATATAATGATTTTAAGACTTTTTGGTACCATTTGCCAGAGATTTTTTTGGGGGGTCTCTTACATGCTATTAGATCAAAATTGCAGTTATTTTGTCACAATTCCGGCTTTTGTTTTAGAGTCAGCCAAATTAAGAGCAGTAACTGTTCCATATAATCATTCTAATCAGACTTAACCATCTTTATCTAATGCCTTTTCCAACGACAGCAAAAAAGGAACATGTGTGCGCTTTGCGGGCAGTGGGAATGAGGAGAACAGAAATAACGCGTATCCTCATAAAGCGGGTCTGGCCCAGCCGTCAGGCCTGGCTCTTGCCCCAACAGAGCCCTGAGAGTGTCTCTTTATCGCTGACAGTGAAAGCAGCACCATTCGTGGCCTTTCGCTGAAGGATGGAGCAGTCAAACATGTGGTGGGGGGAGAGAGAGACCCTCTGGTAAGCCCTGCCTGCCATGTTTACAGGTCTGAACAGTTTAACATGTCAAAGATATGTGTTTTTCACCCATTTTTGTTGTTTTGCACCCCGTAATACTGATAAAAAAAATTATATTGATGCCAAATTATATCTAGTATAATAGATGTATTGTTGTAGTATTGTTTGTATACTATTATAGTATTTATTAATCATTTTGTATATAGTTTTATTTTAATTTTAGTTTTAGAGATTTTAGTTATGTGCTTTTAACAATTTTATCAGATTTTTTGTCATCTATTTAGTGTTTAGCTTTTGTAACTTTAGTGCTTCAACTTGTTTTATTTTAGTTCATTTTAATTAGTTAGTTTTTTCTTCTAATATTTATATATAGATTTTTTTTAGCAATTTCATTGATATGAAGTCACTTTTCACCCAAAAACAACAATACTGTGGGTAAAAAGCTCACTGTGTAGCACAAGTTTATAAAAGTTGTCAGTTTAAACGAGCTGTTTTTAAGTAAATTAAAGCTTATAAACCTATATAAAGAGTCCAATTTATTTGCAAGTTCTTTATACATTATTAACCGGGTTAATGCAATGATTTATAATCCAGTCAGATACCAAAAAAGAAGTTTAAAGGTGTTTAAAGATGTCTTCTTGAGAGGACTCTGCTCTTTGGTCAAGCAGAGCTTTATTTCTTCTGGTCCATATCAGATAATTTATCTCTCTACTGAGCACATGCTTTATAAGGGAAGGAGTGTGTTGTTGCCCAGTTCATGTAAGGAAAAACACACAACATGGAGTGATTTGAATTTTTATGGGGTCATAAATTATCACAGTTGATTACATGCCACATTTGCATGCGGTGTAAAGCACTTTTTTTGTACAAGTTTGTTTGGCACTACAAGATCCCAAAGCTTACTTGTAATGCAAGGAGACGTTTAATAAAAGTCGTGGAGCAATTTTTATGACTTAATGAACCTAGGCGATTTAAATGTGAAATAAAAATGTTTTTCTCATTTTCTCTTTTTGCTCATTCCTTGGAGCAGTCAAGACATTTTTCAGATCTGCTAGATTTCCAGAGTTTTCTTTTGGCAGAGAATGAGAATGGATTGGGTTTCACCATATTTGGTCTCTGGAATTAATGAGCTTTTTTTTCTTCCCTTGTGATGTTCAGTGACTTATTTTGTACATTAGACCACCGCAGCGCTGTGATTGAGTAAATATACAGAAACGTCTCATTTATACGTTCTCAAAACTTTGCACCAAAGCGTAACGTTTTTCACGTGGGTAAGCGGTCAAGAAATCATGCATGGCCTTTAAAGATTGTTTTCTTTTTGCTTGAGCAGAACCTGTTTGCGTTTGGAGACATTGATGGTAAAGGCATAGATGCAAAACTGCAGCATCCATTAGGAGTGTCCTGGGATGAGGGCAGCAGCCTCCTCTATGTAGCCGATTCTTACAATCACAAGGTCAGTCTTTCTGCACCAGACACACTAACAATGCACTGAAGTCCCATTGAGTGACTTTTATTTTAAAGCTAAAATACATTAGAACAAAGTTGGGGATTGTTGAATTAGTTAAGTAACT